ACAATAAGGATATGTTTCTAGCTTCTCGTACGTTTAGGATAATACCATTTGTCCAACAAATGAACGTTCAGTTGCTCTAATAAGGGATATAATTACACAGGTTAATTTCTTGTAACCAACTCAATTTAGTCACGCGTATAGGAACCGTAATGTTCTAGGTCCAAGCATTGCATCCTAATTCGAAGCGAATACACATCGGAGGTGATGAGGCGGCACATATTGCTGAAGACGAGAGATGTAAAGCTCGCTTGGCATCAATGGGTGAGCCGGATCGAAAAAGAGCTGTTGAAAAGCTCAAATTAGCCCACATTGCAATGTAAGTTGATGTTTATTGCTGCATTCTTTAACCGCACTGTATTTGTACTCTAGTACGGCACGGTTGACGCGATTATTGGGATATAGAGAGGTTTTCGCTTGGAATGATATGTTTGATAAATCGATGGTTGAGGACTTGCGTGATTCCGGTCTTGGAGAGCTAATAACTCCAGTGGTTTGGGGTTATAGGGTTGATGTTACCGCTGAAGATTATTTCCCTAATGGGCTTTTTGATAGAATCTCTCAGGTTTGTCCTATCGTGCCTTATGATTCTTTTGAAGCGGTAGATCTGCAGTGGAAGTAGATTCGAGATCTGCCTTCTAGTCGCGCATAAGAAATCAAGACGATTTCATTTTCCATGATATCTTGCATGAATTAGGGACTTGTTTTTGGAAAAATAGCCGACTAAAACAGCTAAGCGGAAGCTCATCCTTGACGGATAAGTCCCCAAGCAGATGAGTTCCCGAATTTTTTTAAAGCAAATGGAAACTTGGGTTTCTGCATACTGCCCTTTTCAAGGAAATTTCAGTAACTTTTTTGAGATATACGAACACAAGTTTCACCCAAACTTCAGTTCATTCAGAGTGTCTTTTAAACTAAAATGCATTTCTCGTAACCTGTATGTTATATTTTCGTTCAGGTTTTTCCAAAAATCTTCTTTGCCAGTGCCTTTAAAGGAGCTCAATCTCAAGGAGAAAATTTCATTGATCTTGAGAGATATCTCGAAACTCACCAATCTTATGTTAAGCTGTATAGAATGCATAGTAAGGTAGGTAATTGGCTTGTTACCACTTTTAAACTATATCAGTTGAACAAGTTATTGTTATTGTTGGTCTGTTCAGGAACTTTGCCTTTTATTTAAAGATAGCGGAGTGATACCTGCTCAATGCAGGCCGTTTTGCATAAAATATCACTCAAGGCTTTTGACTACTCTTTGTTGCGAAATTTAATGTTGCTGTTTCTTATGTTTAATCTAATGTTTCTTCCAGAGCCTTGAGGGTCGTGTAGGTGGCATTATCCTAACAGGTTGGCAAAGATATATGCATCATGCACCCCTATGCGAGTTGTTGGCCATTTCCATACCTTCACTTATTACTGATTTGGTGTATCTTGAAGATGTTGAGAGAACTACGGATATGCTGTGGAAAAAAATCCATGTTGGTTTGAAAGCCGTGTTTTTCAAGGAAGTTAATGCTCTTATTGACGTTCAGAGGCTGCTTAAATGCCCTGTACATATGAATACAACCAGCTCGCCTGTTGTAATTGACACTTTCACCTATATCCCCCACAAAGATGCGTATCTGAAGGTTTGCGACTTTAAAGGCAAGGAGTTGTTCAAACTGGTAGGTTTCCAATTATTTCTAGCTGAATAGCATGTGTTGTTCTGATTGTTGAGCGATCACGCCTGTTTAGGTAATGGAGGATTTGCATATGTTAAATTGGAAAGTTAGTCGTTTACGTTATATAACTGATAGAAAAAATGAACTGATGGCTGAGATTCCGGAGTTAGCAAAGAAGGTTCTTATAAGTTATAGCTTCTTTGTTTTTCGTTTGATGGATGTGGTACTGAGCAGAAAATTAAGCCGAAATTCTTTTTCTGCTATTTTCTGTCGTAGTAAGAGTTTATTGGGCGACATTTTTCTCCGAAATTAATTTTCTTTCCTCTAATTTTCTGCATTTCAGATGGAGTCAGAGTTATTGAATTATTATCTGCCCAGCGATGTGAATGAGTTCTTGAACACAAAAATTTTCATCCTTAAACAATTGTTAACAGAGTCATATATTAGTACGTCCTAGTGCTCTAAATTTCTATAATCAGACTTGGTCGCTTTACTTATTCAGACTGTAATTCTAGTCTTTAAAAATTTTAGCAAATTCTTTGAAGTTTGATTGTTAAGGAAT